CGTGAGCTCCTGTTGGGTTTTTCTCTTCAGTTTCTCAGATGGCTCATAATTTATATCCAGGGGCTGAGAATCACTGTATCTAGTGCTCTTTGTGACTTCTTAATGCAGTGAGATGCACTCAATTTGTCATGTTACTCTTACATCATCACAATCCATAAATGACACCTGTGGAGTAGTAACTACAGATGGGCTTGGGCTGCAAACTTGGGTAAATTTCTTAACCTCTTGAAGTCTAGTTCTGTCATCTGGGGAATAGAATTAATAATAGTACCAACCTCGAAGTTTTTCACAGTTTAAGTGGTATGTTGCATGTAAAATACTTAGCACAATCTGTAGCATGTAGAAACCCAATTATTAATTAATAGCATGCAGTGTATTACAGCAGAGTGGTGGCTTTGGAATCAGTCACTTTTGTTTCAGTCCTTGCTCTGTAACTTTCCAGCTCAGGGATTTTAAGTAGATTTCTTTTTCTTTCTCTCTTTCTTTCTTTCTTTCTTTCTTCCTTCCTTCCTTCCTTCCTTCTTTCTTTCTGGGGGGCGGGAAGTGGGGCAGAGGGAGAGGAACGCAATGAATCTTAAGCAGATGCCATGATGCAGGGCTCGATCTCACAACTCTGAGACCATGACACGAGCCAAAATTAAGAGGCAGACGCTTAACCGGCTGCATGACCCAGGAACCCCATATAAGTAAATTTCTTAATTTCTCTGTCCCTGTAAAAATGAGAGTAGATGGGCGCAGTTACTATTATGGGAGAGTGCTATAGACAAAGGAGGTGCTCAGTAAACATTTCTGCCGCTTTTCCTTACATTCCATTTTTCTTAACACTACCCTGAGCAATAGAAAAATACAATTTTGAGATGATTGACGTTGGTGTGGCAAGGCTATGCAGAGAAGGTGCTATTACAAATGGCCTTTGTGGCAATGACTGACTGGTGGGAACACATCCCTTGGAGCCCGTAGGACATGGTGGTGGGCCTGAGCCACAGCCAGAGCTTGGGGGAGGGTGGTGGCGCCCTGCCCCATGCTTCCCTTTTAGCAATTGGCTCCAGCTTGTGTAATGCCTAACTTGTGATGCTGTGTAATTCTCAAGCCCACATACAGGCTGGGGTTTGGTCCCTTTTACCTTGTTCAAGCTCTGATTGAGCTAGAAGTGTATCCTGGGGCTTAAAAAGGACTCATAGTCTTAGCACTCTGCTGGACAGCCTGCTCCATCACAGCACTTATTGTTTGAGCCGGTAGTTATCTCTTTACATAGGGGCCCTCTGGTAACTTCGGAAGCTTTCTGGTTTCCTAGGATTGTAAGAGAAGCAAGTGTACTCATTCCACTGTGATGTCTTCATCTTCTACTTGATGGCCCAGAATAGGGAAAGGGCAGTGGCTGCAGGTGACAGAAAGTCATGTCAGGAACTGAATTCTCAAGGCATCAATACATTTGGTAGTTCTTGTTGGTTCCCCTTTGAAATAGAGCAGGTCATACTTTTGTGGGGATTGAAGTGATTCAGTCTTTCTCCGTTCTCTCTCCCCTTGGCCACCTATGTACTTTAATTCAATCTAAGGAGAGTATTAAGGCATGCCCTTTAAGAGCTGATAAGAAATGTGCTGTAAGTCTATCATATAGTATAGTAAGATATTTTCACTGACTCTGTAATGAGTTCTGTGTTTGGTTCAGACCCAGCATCTTGGACCATTATAATTTAACTTTAGTGGACACCTAACTTTAAAAAAATGAAGGTAATACATGATTGCTAACCAGTTACCCCTTTGAGTTATGCCATTGTTTGTTTCTGGAAGTTCATATGTGAATATTAAAGGGTTGCAGTTTTCTATTACATGTTTAAAATATGAAAAATACTTTCCTAGAATCATTTAGGGAATACTTTTCTATGGTTCACTAAAATGGAAAGGAGAAGAAATAAATTTGAATTAAAATCTAATTTCATTTGTATTGTTACTAGTCTTCTCTCTATGGTAGATATATGTCTTTCATGAAAGTATCATTGCATGTAGCTGAAGTAATTCTAGGAAATTGGAAATAAAGGGGAAAAAAGCATCATTTCACCTGGACATTGTATTATGAAATATTATGGTGAGAGCCATTTAAAAGAGGACACTCTGTATCACTGGGAACAGCCATCCAAGATTATAGAGTAAATTGAAAGGAAATGAGGATCAAGTAAAAGAATTCATGGGTTTAAAGTGTTCTTTAGCTCCTTTGTGTTCTGATAAATAGATTTAGATGAGGAATAGTATCACATTCTTATGTATGTTTCTGGAAGTTCCCACAGTGCGTGGCAAGGAGCTCAGTAGGTGCTTTGTAAATGAGAAATGAATGGAAGTTCATTGCTACCAGAAGGATTAGATGATGCCTTGGAATACTCAGAGGAGAAATAAAACCAAGGGATTCAAAGAAGGGACGAAAAGAGCTGATGACATAATAGGAAAGAATATCGAAACAGAAAGGGATGCATTTTTAAGTGTGTTCTTGTGATACTCTTTCAAGTAAATGCTGGAGAGCAATCCTTGAGGTGATTCAGAGCAGTGATTCTCAGATTCTTGTAAGGTGGCCCTTACCGTGTTCCTGTGACAAAAATTACATAATTTCCTAATACCTCTTAAAAATCGAGGTCGAGGATAGACTATTCCATGTTCTTTTTTCTCAAGGTCTTTGACGCTTGCTATTTTGGGTCAGTACCAACAACTAACAAAAAGTGGTCTGTAAAGCATGTAGTTAGGAGAGTTGTTTTAAGTTTAACACATCAGAACTTTACCGAGTTCTGCAGGGAGCTCTGTGGCTTCCTGAAGCCCAGCGGAGTTTGAGAGCCACTGTTCTGGAGTTAATGAAACAGAGCCCTCCTGGGACCAGGTAAGAGAGTGCTTCACAGGAGTTTACGACAACAAATGTAGGTATTGTGTTCTGGAAAAGGCCATTCTTGTTGTGTTGCTCTTGCTGATTCCCTGTAGGCTAGTAGCTTATCTGTCACTGTTATCTCGTCAGCATGGAAGAATCGCATGGCTTTATTTACTCACCTTACCAATCTTTTGAAACCAGCCATCCACGAGGAAGTTTCTGTGAAGTAGAATTGTGTGAGTGTAACACTAGTGTGGAGACAGCCAGATTTAGGCTGGCAGCCGGAAGAAAGGAAATGGTTTGCTTTCTTTTGTGGATGTGCCCCTACCTAGTTCTTGAGAACTTGTTTCTACCTAGAAAGCTTTTTTTTTTTTTTAAACTAAATCATGTCAAGTAGTTGCTTTCCTTAGCTGATTCAGGCAATTAGATGAGTAACAAAGACTGTCAGTCCTGGCCTGCCATACTGACTTTTAGAAGTCTATTTAGGGGGAGAAAAATCACTTATGATGATTCATCTTCAAATGATAAAGCTAGTGCATATGCAAATTTTAAATTGTTTGGTATTTCAATAAGTGAATATATTACATAGGCTCAGACGACAGAAGGTTTGAGAAGGGCTGATCTGGAGTGTGTATAATACCACACCAGAAGGGGTGGGTGGATGTTTTATTTTAATACATGGGAATTAAAAATGGCCTGTCTACCTTTGTAAATTTCATTTTCTTTGAAGCCTTTGCAAATCTTTAGCAGAGTAAACCAATTGGCATCTCTGGAGAGAGTTTGTATGTTTCTTTCAGTCTCAGATAAGTAATAGGGGAACCATGTGGAGTGGGGAAGATGCAGAATGGGAATTGTGCCTTAGATTAAGGTTTGGTAGAAGGTTCAGATGCTGGAAGGTGATGACTGGCAGGGTATGTTTTGTAATTTAGCCAATGATTTTGAGAAGTGGAGGTGGCAGACTAAAAACGATGGGATCTCAAAAGACAGCAAGCCTTGGAATAGAGGTGTAAAGAGCTTTTAAACATAGGTTGGGAGCTCAGTAAATGTTAGTTTCTCTTTTCTGTTCCCCATACCACAATGGGAAATGATAATAGTTTTCTATTGTGCTTAGGCATATGTGGGTGATGGTGCTGCCCACTGGATCATTAAGTATGAAAAATTAGCTCCTACAATTCAAATCATTCAGCAAATACTAAATTGATACAGAGAGGTAAATATCTATAAATAAATGAATAGCAAAGTAAACATTTCTGTGCAAGGTTGTATACTAGATGCTGTGAAAGTGAGCACCCCCTCAAAGAGCTTGTGGATTTAGTTGGGGCAAATGCACTTACTGACAGCCCGCAATGCAGAGCATCCAGAAGCTTCTACATGAATAGTACAGAAAAACAGAGCTGCAAAGAGGGACAAACCCCAGTGGACCGGGGCAGGTGGGAGGAGCTTCCCCCAGGAGGTGACTCCGCTAAACCTGGACTTCAAAGTCTGATGGGATTCAGGGAGGCGTCAGCAGAGATGGAGGGCTCTCCAGTGTGGAGAATGGTGTGAGCAGAGGCGGGTATAAGTGGCGAGCTCTTCTGATGAGGAGGTCTTATCCTGTAGAGAGGTGGAGGGAGAATGAATACTGGAAACCTGTTGAAGGCAGACCGTGGTGGTTCGGATGGACTCACCTAAGCAGTAAGAGACCCACTGTAAGGCAAGGGGACAGTTGTTCAGTTGAGGTTTGCAGGATGGCCTGCAGGGGCGTGACCAGAGGTCAGGGAAATCCACGGAGAGGCTGAAGTGTATAGTGATGGGTGTCTGAGTTAGCTGGTGAAAGAGGAAATGAAAAGGAAAGGAGAAACAGAATCAAATCACACAGAGAATAAAATTGCAAGTATGAAAACCTCCATCTTTTCATGGTACTCCTTAAAGTTGTAACGTTTCGGTTGGGAGCTATTCAGATGGAATAACCTGCCCCATTGGAATGAATGTTGACCAGATGCTTGCACTGAATGAGAATAAGGACATGAATCCTTTATGGCCCATGACTTGAGATTTAATCACATTTTTTGGTTTGGACAACTGCTAGACCTGCCTTATTGCAGACATTGTCCCTGCTGGTACAGAGGTTTGTTTAGTTCTAATTTTTCCCCTCTTCTTTCTTTCAAAATAGACTCTATCGAGAAGAATTTCCAATCCATACCTTGAACACACTCCTTCCCAGGTATGATTCTTTGCTCTTACTGCATTTTCTGAAACAATGATTTATGAATCCTGATGTAGAATTCTCTAGTTACAGCTCTTCCCTTTGCCCCTGGGCACACTGTCTCCTTCACCTGGGGATGACACAGCTGAAGTCCTTTGAAATGCTCTGATAATTGTGTCATGGTACCAGATGTTCATCAGACAGGAGAAGAAATACTTTCCCATCTCCCAAGTCCTTATATGAATGTGTTATCAATATGACGGAGTTAAATATATATTTTTCCAATTTGCTGTGTTAATAGAAATGCTGTATTTTTAAAATAGTGGGTATTTTACACTAAAAACTTGGTATAAGAGGGGATTATTTATATTTATAGTTATTTATTAGTAGAATATCTACGTTCATTGAAAAAAGATGGGGAAGCCTTCATTGTGTTTAAAAATAATTCAACAAAGAGTTCCTTTTTTTTTTTTTTTAAAGAGTAACATGAGGCTGTGAGCATTGTGAGGTCTGAAACTTTTTGTCCTTGTTCACTACTGTATCCTCAGCATCTAGAATGGGGTCTGAGAGCTGCTCATTAAAGACTGAGTGAACGAACATTGATACCTTGTCAGGACCCGTCAAGGGTGAGCTGACTTGTACCTCTTTTAGGGTAGTACTTTTTCTTTTCTTCCAAATTTTTATTTAAATTCTAGTTAGTTAACATACAGCGTAATACTGGCTTCAGGAGTAGAATGTAGTGATTCATCATTTGCCTAGAACACCCAGTGCTCATCATGACAAGTGACTTCTTGATGCCCATCACCCATTCAGCCCATCCCTCACCCTAGGGTAGTACTTTCTGTCATCTGACTTGGTGCAGTTTTTGTTTTGTTTTGCTTTGTATACAGTTGCAACATGTTAAAAAATCATTTCCTGCCCTTCACACTTTCTCATCAGGTTGTGTTTAGGAAGTGATAATAGGAATATTAAGGAAGTGTAAGGATGGGGTTGAAATGTTCCCTGTCAAGTCATAGTCAATATACTCTTAATTGGTTTGCTTCAAGAGAAGATATAAAATATTCAATAGGTGCAAAATAGTGTAGGTGCAGAAAGGGTTCACCAAGAAATAAGTAAGCAGATATAGCATGCATTCCCAACATATATTAATTTTCATGAGCATGAAGACAGTTCATTTTCATTTAGCTTCCTTTGTGAAGCAACATTGCACTATGGAGGAAGGTAGCAATTATAGAGACAGGAGGTAGTATATAAAGTAGGACATGGACCTCTTTAGATCTAAGGAATACCCTCCTTCATCCTCTAAGAATCAGAGATGCCTATGGGTGAATTAGAAGATGAAAAAGGAGGTTAAGTAAAATTTTTATCTGCTAGGTGGAATCATGATGTAGATGAAACCAGGATGCTTGGAATTAACAATGAGCGCTGCAGCTGAGTGAAACTTAAGAGTGAAGCAGACAGCAGCCTATCACATTGCGTCACAGAGTGAGATGTTCACTTGATAGGAAAACGTTATTTTCCCATCTTCCGAGACTTTTACATGAAAGCATTATCAATATGGCAGAGTAATATGTAATATAAATATGCTTCAATTTGCTGATTGATAGAAACTATTTAAAAAAAACAGATATTTTATTCTGGAAACTTGGTATAAAAGATTATTTATAGTTAAAGCAGTTTATTTGGAAAATAAAGTAGTTACTGTAGCTTAATAGCACAAGTGGACCAATAGCAAAAATAAAATGGGTAGTAGTTGGTCTGTAGCTACGTAGGCTAAAGTGTTTTTAAACTTAGGGACATGGGCGTGATTTTTTTATATGGTGTGCTATTGGCAGCTCACAAATTGTCATATTATTCTAAATTTACGGAAACTATTTGTCTTTTTCCATTTAGATTTATGGAGAGAATTCTTCTTGTGCAGGAAGAGCATTGAGGAATATTATTATCGTTCAAGCAACTGACCTGATAAAGGACAGAGTGAACCTCAAGGGATTTTACAGGTAACACAGTTTTCTAACACCTTGTCAAAAATGCTCCTTGAATAATAAAAAAAAAAAAAATGTGCTGAAATCATAACCTTGATCACAAAGAGCTGGGCTGTGTCAGTACTGGGAGGATTTGTTTGTTTGAAGTGTCTATTTGGGGTACTGATGGTGATTTTTCTCTTAACTCAGCTGAATATTTGTTGACAGTAGACTCCTAGTTCTGAAGTTAGGGTATGGAATCTGCAGGTGCAAGTGGATGGGTTCCTGAGAGAGTCTCTGCTCTGCTTCCTCTGAAATGTGATGTTTTATATATTTGTACTGGGCATGTGCTGCACTGGGACTTCAATAAGCATAGGCGCCTTCTTCAGGGACCTTATCAAGGTTCTCTGAAATACTCTTGGGAGATCTATGGGAGAGGGAATTCTGCTCTAACTTGCCAGGTGAGGATGAGCCCTTCCTTGGGCGCTGCAAGGAGGGGGAAGGGAAGGTGGCAAACGGTTGGCATTTCTCCATCTTGGCTTGTGAATATGGGCAGAGGTATAAAAGGCAATGGATGGGCTAATGGTCAGTTTTAAAGTATAGCTGGACTAAGAGAATTGTCACTTAGAAAGTTGAGGACACATGTTCTTATTTCATGGAGCCATTTAAAGAAAAAACAAAAGTGAATTACCAGCCTTTTATTTTGTCAACTAAAGGTATTAAACAATACCAAAACTAAATTATAAAGATAAAACAAAAAAACATTTATTATAATTTTTTCTTACAGAAACGAGATTGCGATATACCATAAAGAATAGGAAGAGTACTCAGAATAAATGACACCAAAAAAAGTAGGAAAGGGCACCTGGGTGGCACAGTCGGTTAAGCCCCTGACTCTTGGTTTCAGCTCAGGTCATGATCTCACGGTCATGAGATCCAGCCCTGCCTCAGGCTCAGAGTGGAGTCTGCTTGAGCCTCCCTTTCCCTCTGCCACTCCCCCCCCAAAATAAATAAATAAATCTTAAAAATGGTAGGAAAGATTCTCAGAATAAGGACATTCCATTCAGTTAACTAAATTTAGCTTTATCACAAACTCATTATAATATTCCTGTTTTTTCCATTTGTCACAGTTGGGAAAAATTTCATCATGGCCTGGATTGGGGGGATAGTGATTCCCAACCTTTTTGAGTAAGAAGACCTCCTTTTCATTGAGACATGACTTAAAATGCACAATTCTTGAGGGTACAGCTTGATGAAATTTTGATTATTATATACACCTATGTAACTATTATCCATACCCTAGATAATTCCTTAATGTTCTTTTCTAGTCACTATCCCATGCTACCAACTACTTTCTAATCAGACTCTTGGCAGAATCTGTTTTCTGAGGCACCATTGAGCAAGGGTGGGAGGGGAGGTTGGGAGAACTACAATGAATTAATACTTTACAATCCCATATTAAATTTTTTTAAAGATTTTATTTATTTGAGAGAGAGTTATACAGAGCACGAAAACAGAGGGGGAGGGGCAGAGGGAGAAGCAGACTCCACACTGAGCAGGGAGCCCGATGCGGGACTTGATCCCAGGACCCTGGGATCATGACCTGAGCCGAAGGCAGATGCTTAATCAACTGAGCCATCCATGTGCCCGAAAATCCCATATTAAATTAACCACATTAGTACATATATAGGTTTTGAAAAATATGACCTAGGTTAGACATGATCTATTCTGTTGAGAAAGCATGTTTTTGTATATATGGACTCATGAACCTCTTGAAAAAAGCTTGATCCCCCAAACCCCCACCCCCCATAAGCAATTCATAGCCCAAGGTCTGAGAACCTTCAGTTTAGAGCCCGGGCCAAGTAGACATGACAGGTGAGAAGAGCGGTTGCAGTTCTGGCTGGAGCACTTCACATAGAGCCTTTTTAATTTTTTTTTTATTGGTTGTTGTTTTCACTTTTAACCTTTTTTTTTTTTTCATTTTTAAAAAATAAAAACTGGTTGGATATGACTTTGGGTCTAGTCGTGAACAGGCTCCTATGATTCTTTTTAGCTACCACATAAGGCTATGTGTAAGATGTGTCATTGCTCTCAGTTGCTTTATGTGGTCTCCATGGATATAGATTGAAAAAAGCATTGGGAGACATACGTTAATGAGGTTCATGGAAAAGAACCATCCATCCAAGTTAGAACACATTTAGGGTTCAGTGGGAGTAGAATGGGGAGAGAGCATGTGCTGTGCTATTTCAGATTCCCAGTGGTTGGGCCAGAACTTCCATCTTTCATAATCTAAGAATTGATGAGTGCCCTGGGTCTAAAGATAAAGTGCTAATATGATTGCCTAGGATGAGTCATTTTCCTTTGTCTGGTAGTAAATTTAGGTGAAGTGTTCCCCATGTCCTACATGAGAATTACTTTCAGAACTTTGAGATCTTTTCTATTCCTTTTGCGCTATAGGAAAAATCATACTGGTTTCTGAGACTTCAAGTAAGTCTCTAAATACCATCACCCCATTTACATTTGAGATTAGGGTTCTGTCTGCAGTACCATGAATGAATTGCTAAAAATGCAACTAGAGACAGAAGGAGACCAGGAGAAATCAAATTTTCAGCTCCAAAAATTGGAGCTGAGATAATGTTTAATGTTTTGTTATAGCAGTCACCTTGGCCTCGTAGCTAATCACCTCTATATCACAAGGTTCCTGCCTCATATTGCAACTCCAGTTATATCTACATGTACTCAAACGGTTTCTGGATCCAGTACAAGACTGAAAATACACTGTAAGACCTGGGTGTTCAGATCGCTCCCTTCCATCTCTCCCTTTTCTTCCTCGTTGCTCTCCCCTAAGTCCCATAGGTTTAGGTACAGTAGCTGGACTGCTGCAGCCCTGGTCAGCAAGCCCGGGGAGTAGGAGTTCAGTGCAGGGGCCCCTCACCTCATGCTGTTGGCTTTGGCGATATTAAGGATAGTGTTTATGCCTATTCCTAGTGGGGTTTTCCCTGGTGCAGATGGATTGTTGAAGGAGGTTTGAAGGATAACTTGATCAAGTTGGAGGTGGAGGAGAAGAGGATCCCAAGCAACTGAAACAGGAGCTTGCTGGCCGGGTGGGGGGCTCTGATGAACTACTGTTGTCACAGCAGTACTCTGGCCATATGTTTTAGTGTGTGGACTCAGCCCTCTCCCCAAGACAGAGTGAGCCCTTCCCAGTGAGAAGGTAGAGCTGGGGGATTGGGGCTTTGTGGTCACCAGTATCACCTGGGCCCCGTTCAGCCACACTGCACCTGAATCTACACATTAACTGAATCCCCCAGGTGCTCCTAAACACAATTTTGAGAAGCCCCAGTCTAGGAAACTTCTTCCCCATCACCTGTGAGCAAGGCAAACATACTCGTCCATCTAGCCACCTTTTGCAATTTGGCAGTTTGGTTTGCTTAGTAAATGTTTGGTTGTGTCCTATTCCGGGTGGTCAGACGCTGAGAGCAAGTTGAGGACTGGATTGTTCTTAGAATAAGGATTACGATGATACAGTGTTTTAATGCATGGGATAAGTGCTTTGCAAGCTCAAAGATGCTGGCTAATTGACAGAAGTGTTGAGGAATTAATTAACACTTTCAGCCTTTAACATGAAAGGTGTCTTATAGAATTAGAAGTTGATATTGACTGTTTTGTCTAATTGCCTAGTTTATTGTGATCTGTTTTCTCCTTTTTCAAAAAACATCTGTTTATTTGACAGTTAATCTTTCTAATGTCTTAATGCTAACCCACAACTAAATGTGTCTGGTATTGCCCTAATTGCCTTAGAGTATCTTTCAAACAGTGACACTTCACCAAAAAAAAAAAAAAAGTGATGCTTTATCAAAAGCTGGAATATTTGTTCAAATTTCTCAGCAGAGTGGCACCTGGCTAGCTCAGTCTATAGAGCATGCGACTCTTGATCTTGAGGTCGTGAGTTCAAGCCCCACGTTGGGCGTAAAAAAAAAAAAAAGAAAAAAAAAAAACACCTCCAAACCACAAAACAAATAACTCTGAAAATGTAGTGCCTCATGGCATTTCTTCATATTATTGGTCACTGTGTGATTTCTAGGTATTGATGACTATGGCCAGTCACAAAAAATAAGCAGTATTTTTCTGTTTTAGGAATAAAATAAATGTTGATGTGTTTTGGTCCTTAAATATCAAATATGGAATAAAGACAGCCATTTACACGATACATCTTTTTAAAAAAAACATTTTGGTGACGTTTTCATAAGGGAGAATGATTTTCAGTGAAATTTCTTCAAATGAAAACTGTATTTCAAGAAGTTGTCTTCTTTTGAGTTTCCATCTGAGGCTGATAAAGATGAAAAAGTAGGCATGAAAATACTGCCTGTAATGCCCAGACTGGGGCATGCTTCGAGTATAGTTGTGTATTTTAAGACAGGTTACAGGGGATATTTTTGTGTATGTGGTTAGAATCCATCACACACATCTGGGTTTATGAGTTTATGATCTAGGCTGCTTAGCTAGATTGCTTAGATGATATTAAAAAGAATAATGGTCATATTTATTGTTCTTTGAGACAAATTTTAGGATTTAATATGTTTGGAGAGTTAGCAAACAAAACTATTTACCACTCACTGTGGTCCTAACTTTGTGTAATTTTTTTGGAGTTATTTTGTTCTCAGAAAGACTGGATAATTATAAAGAGTTGAATAAAAATTTATCACCATCACCTTGATGCTTGTCTTACCAAGGCAGAAGCATTATCTTTATATAATGGATTGCTAAATTTATTCCTTCATTTGTTCAAACACATGTTTTGAGAACTTGCTAGCTATGTGCCTGGAATATTCTAATTGTTGGGGTTTAACAGTAAGTTACATACATAGTCCCTGATATCCTGAAAATGATTCTGAAGTGAGAAAAGCAGATATTATTCATTCAGAAGGATGTACAATTACTAGGCGATTTGAAGCAAAAGTATAAGAGGGTATGATTCTAAGTTTTCTCATGGAAGTGATACTGGGCTGAAATCGGAAAGATGAATAAGAGGTGCCTGTTCATTTATTATTGAGTCCCTTGTTTAAAAAAAGCACATGAAAAGGATGATATTAATGATCAATTCTTGGGCAAATGAGTGGCAACACTGTCTTACTATGAATGGCTTTCCTTTTGTTCAGGAGGAGCTGTGTTGGGTCAGAGCTGGTAGACTGGCTTCTAGAACACTGTCCTTTTGTCCAGTGCAGATCTATGGCCATAGGGGTCTGGCAGCTCCTACTGGATATGGGAATTATGTTATCAGGTCAGTATTACATGTTTTGAAAGCACGGAAGTGTTATTTTATTAAGCTACCAGAACAAAATTTACTTGATTTTCTAGAGGATGTTACAATCTGGATGGAAATTTTTTTCACAGGTAAATATTTGCATTCTCTCACGTTTTATAAACGAAAGTGACCAGTCATCTTTTGATTGTTAATTCTCACACCTTTTGTCAAAATAATTAGGTACTTGCTGATTTATAGACTACTACGTCTAAGAGTCTTTCCCTTACCCTCTCCTCTACTTAGAAGGCTGCTCACAATTTTTTTTAATCAGTGACATCTTTAGTTGCTCTAAATGTGTGATTTATCTAGCTGTACTTAGAATAATTAGCAGAAACTGATTTTATGAGTGGAATGTTACGCCATTTTAATTGACTAATCATGAACAATTAGGGATATGACGTATGAAAATTAGCTGTTTAAACAGAACACAAAATTGATGTTAACTAGCAACTAAAATAGATGGCAGATAGCACTTTTCTTAGTTGAGCCCAGGGAATTAAAGAATTAGAAGTTAAGCAATCTGGATTCTTAATTTAGCTTTATCATGCAGGTGCTAGTTGGTCACTAGGAAGCCCCTTTGTCTCCATAGGTAATAAATACTGAGGATCAGAGGGCATAGTAAGGTTCAGAAAGGTATACCCAAGTCCCAGTGTAGTACGGATGGGGATGTGGGTGTAATTTCAGTGAGTTGTTGATACCTAGCACCTGATATTCTTATTTAGAAAAGCGGTAACTACCTTTGAGGACTGTTACCAGCTTGCTTGTGAGGTTCATGTTTCTGGTGAGCAAAAAAATTTGTGCCAGTGTTTTTTTGGATAAGTCTCTAATTCTTGATTCCTTTTAAAACAGCCTTGGTAGCATTGACATTTTGTGCTAGGTAATCCTGTTGTAGGGGCCCGTCCTGTACATTATAGGATGTTTAGCAGTATCACTCTTTCTACCCACCAGATGCCTGTAGCACCCTCTAGTAGTGAGAACCAAAAATGTCTCCAGACACCGCCGAATGTCGCTTGGGTGTCACAGGTGCCCCTGGTTGAGAACCACGGTTTAAAACTTGCGATAGTGTTACATTTGTGTATCACTCAAGTAATTAAATATATTTGTTTGCTTTGAGACACACAAGAAATTCTCCCCACTGTTTGAATTGTTACTGATTTCACCTATCTGTGAAGCAGAAGAATCATAAAATATATATGAATATGCTGGCTAAAGCCTCAAGTAATAAAAATAGGTTGGTCAGTAAGTCCCTTTTAGTTCAATGGGATTGTGAACATGAATGGACTTAGAATATATAATTATAATCCTAACGCTGGGCTCTCCCTAATTAGTAGGGCTTTCAATTTATTATTTGGTTTATGACTCGCTAAATAATGGGCTTTAAAAAAACAGATCCTCCCCTTTTTTGTTTCCAACAGTGGACCAGAATTTGTACTTTCAAGATACCTATGTTTTCTACCAGTTTTCTTCTGATGAATGTAGCTACTTGTACTGTGAATTTGAAAGAGAAGAAGAATGGCAGAATGGTGTCAAACTTTTACTGCAACTTGTGCCTCTCATTCCTGCTAGAGCGGGCATCTGTGAACTGTAAGTAGATGCTCTTTTGTTCTAATATAAAATTATTCTCCCTTAGAGACTATTTCCTGTTTCTAGGCACTGTGCTCCGCTTTTCACCATCTCCTGTAAGAGATAGCTGTCCCGTTGCCATTTCTCAGGTGCAAGTTCAGAGAGGTAAAAGGAATGGCTGGAGATTAAATCCAGCTAAAAAATGGCTGATGTGGTATTCGAATCCCAGAAGTTCATGCCTTGCCAGCTACACCATGCTGCGGCTAATTTAATCATCACTGTGTGAGTTGTGATCTAAATTAGGAGTAAAGATGACTTGGCTTAGGTTGAAATAAAATAATAACTGACATATTATCCGCTGTCCAAATGGTGACTTTCCTAAGAAAGAGCTCAACAGACCTTTCTGAAAATAAGCGAGAAGCAACATTTGGCAAATTAAAACACGTGAATCACTATCACATGAAGATAGTGAATCACTATGTGATTAAAATGAATTAAAATTCATTAGAGAAGGCTTGGGAACAAGGCTTGAGTCATGATATGGTGTTGTTGATATGTCTTTGTCTCTCCATGGAATTCATGATAAGCTTATTTTGGAATAATGAATTTCAGATTAAAATTTTCCGTCAGTAACTTCTCCATATTCAGTTTTCAAAATACGTTCCCATACTGTGGACTCTCTGTGAGATTAGCAGGGCAATCTCATGGGTAGGAAGGTAGGTTTCTAGAGAAACACCTACAATCATCACAAGGAAGAGTTACTCTTAAAAAAAAAACAACTGGACAGTTAATCCAGGCTTTTAGAAAAGGAATAGTGTTAGAATATTAATGAGACACCGTGCTAATAGGTTGATTGTAGAAACACATCTTAATGTCAGGAACTACGCTAACTGCTTTATATTATTTCATCTTCAGATGAATTCTAGAAGTTACTACTATTGTCGCTTTTTTATAAGTGAGGAAAGTGAGGCACAGAGGTCAGGTGGCCTGTCCAGGCTCACACGAGTAGTAAGTGGAACGTTAGGGTTTGAATCCTTGTCCGTGTGACTCTAATAGCTACTCTTCTAACTCCTGCCAGAGTGTGATCCAGGAGTCATTCCAGCTTCCCCTTCTAAGACACTATAAACAGAAACTATAAAAATGTTAGACAGACTCCGAAATGGTTATGACTTTACCACCACCACCTCGCGTAGAGGACCTTGGAATGGTAAAGCAAAATTCAAATGTGATTCTTCAGAAACAGAAAATGTTCTTTAGTATAAGATGCTTTTAATAGAGGTGAGAATTTCCTGAGAAAAGTCAAAGAGCATTTTAGTAAACTTTAACAAGCTTTCCAAGAAGGAGTGTGTGCTTTGGAAACTAGAGATGACTGTGACTTGCTTTGACGCCGGGAGACTGGCCTTCTCTAGCAGCTCTTCTTGACCACTTCCTGTCCTGCACCCAGGATGGAAGAGTGTCCGGTCGCACAGGTGTACACGGGTTACCAGAGCCATAAGGGCGGCTGAAATCAACTTGCAGGCAGTCCTCATGATTTCACTCCATTGCTTTCTCCCTGACTCGGAGAGCAGATTGGAATGCCACTGGGGGAGATGACCTTGTTATAGGGAAACCCTGAGTCCACTCTAGGTTCTAAAACTTACTTTCAAAATTCGATTCCTAATATGAGTTCCAGATTACCTGCAGTCATTTGTCACATCGATCACTGAACACAAATGGCATGCGTCTGGAGTTGAGAATCACTTGTGCCTTGTTTATCAGCAGATATTTTGGTGGTGGCGTGAACATGTACATTGGGAGTGGTCATTCCTCTGGGACAGTTGTCATTGGGGAGCTATGGATCCATCTGTCCCATATTATAGCTACTAGCTACTAGCTATAAAAAGACAAAATTAATGAACCACTGTGAGTCTCTAAAGGCAGGAGATAGGTGTATACACATATATAAATGTGTATATAATATACAGATATATAATTTTTTTCTATGCTAGAGTTACAAGCAAACCTCTAAGCTAGGGTAAAATTTTTGCTAAATTTTGGAAAGCCAAGGTTTAGGTTATCCAGACTTGGAAGAAAGTATGGTCGGAGAGGAGGTGCCCAGGGGCACTGTCCTCTTCCAGCTGTTGAGGACAGTGGCTCAGCCCTCCTGGGGCTCAATGCTTGTGATGCCCAGGGGACTGCTGGTGATCCTCATTCATTCTAACTCCCATCTCACAGCTGTTTACTCCCTCCTGTGCTGCTCTTCTCCTTCCTCTGCCTCTTTCCTTATCTGGGCAAATTCTACCCACCCCTCAAGGGGGAGCCCAAGTCCTACCTTGACCCCAAAACTTTCACAAAGTCTCCAGTTCCTGTCAGTCTGACTTTTAGTAACTAATGGCTCCTGCTGTTTGCATCCCACAATTTTTCCATTCTTCTGTGTCATTCTTCCTCTTGTGTTATCCATTCTGCTCTCTTAACCCATTTTTATCCATTTTGCTGAAATGGCCTCTAAAGTCCTCTTGATGCATTAACTTGCATTGTCCATTCACGAGCTGAAAATCCTGTCCTGTGGTCCTTTTACTAGCCTTTTTGATATTTGAAGGCTATTAAGGTCTGTGTATGTGGTTCTGCATTAGGTCCCTCTAATTTGCTGTCTTCTAAATCTCTGTAAAATTATGTGAGGAAGCCACTTAACGTCTCTATGTAACGTCTCTATGTAAACACAATTCTGTACAAATGTATTTTTTTAAAGTGGATTTTTTTTTTTCCGTTTAGAAAAGAATGTTTAAAGCAGGATGGCAAATGAAGCTGTTGCAGGTTTCTGGGCTAATTTGAGGAAAAAGAATTCCTATTCTATACAAAATAACTTTTACATCCAAACTGAGTAGATAATTTGAAAGGAGTGTCGAGGGTACTTTCTCTGGGAGAAAGAAATAGCAGTCATGGTATTTTATTCAAACTGAAAGCCAAATCAAGTCATCCAGAATGGACTTTTTTCTAACTCTTTTTTTTTTTTTTTAATTTTATGTGTTGGGGGGAAGGTAGATTGGGGGGTGTGTGGTTGGTTAGAAATGCTGAAGTAACAGCGTAGGGAAAGGCAGCCTAATAGTGCCTTTAGGACTAGTGAGAAATGGGAGGATTTACTCTGTGAGGAAGCTTGGCTATTTCAGTTGAACCGCCTTTACAGTGGCTGCCAGCTTACCAGGGGTGGGAGCGGTAGGGCTCTGAATAGATGGAGTCTATGAACCTCGAATACACAAAACTATATTCTCCAATTACAGGGCAGTTAACATTTAAGCTGTTATTTAAAGAGTTCTAGAGGATTGCTAAAATGTAACTTGTGCTACAGTCAGACATTTAAAGAAAAATGTGATGTCTTCATTTTTCCTCTGAGCAATCTATTATTTATTGTCCACGTGAGCCTCCATCTTTCTAGGTAGCCGGAAAGAAGGGAAGGAAGTCCATAATTTTAGTCTAATCCAGTTAAATTATTCTAATAAGGTAATTTAAAAGGCTGTGGAGCATATTTTGGTAAAAAGGTTCAGTCTGGGCCCACTCCCTGTTCCTCAGGAAGACAACCTCTGGTATGTGGTGAGTGGTATGGGTCTCTTAAGCCTGGTAGAGGAGGCTCTCCTGTCAGGGTGGGCCCTTTCCCATCCCCGCTGATTTTGCCTAGTGCATGGGCAGCCACTTCCCTAATGATTCCTGAGGTATAACTGGGGTGTTCTGTTGGCATCTGCTATGGAGCCTGGGCTGATACAAGTTGGGTTTGTCTGTCCTGGCTGGATCAGTGTCTGTTGGTCCTGCCTGGCTGATGGGCCTTCCTGTGTACCTAATGGTGTTGCCAGTGCTCCTGAGGAGTATGGCTGTGGCTTCCACAGATAGTCCATTCAGCCACTTGACCTCTGTTGAAACAGCTCCCTCTCATGGCATCCCAGCCTGAGTTTTCCTGATTCTAGTTATTGAAAAAACAAAACAAAAACATGTTCATTGTTGTTACTCTTATTTAGCAGTGCACTTAATTGAATGGTATCTTAACCTTCAGATTCCTAACTAACCAACTCTAGGGAAAGCTCAGTCCAGTGGGTTAAGATGAATTTATCAGTGGGGCACCTGGGTGGCTCAGTCGGTTAAGTGTCTGACTCTTGATTTCGACTCAGGTCATGATCTAAGGGTTGTGAGATGGAGCCCTGCGTTTGGCTCTGTGCTGGGCGTGGAGCCCACTTAAGATTCTCTCTCTCTCTCTCTCTCCCTGCCCCTCCCCTCCATTTCCTCTCTCTTTCTCTCTTTTTCCCTCTCTAAAAAAAAAGAAAAAGGATGAATTTATTAGCATTATTTCATGCTCTAGACAGAGACACAAAGGGTACTTGAGGTAGATGGAACAGTATGCAGGGCATGAGGTTAGGAAGAGTGGTGGCACGTCGAGGCAGTGCAAGGTGGCTTGATGCGGCTGGAGCAGTGAGCCACAGTGAGAGGAACTCAGCCTTTGAGAAGGGTGGGGAGCACGTCTCAGATGGAGTGCAGGGCTGTGTAAATCCATAGGGAACACAAGCATTATCTTTACATTGAATAAAGAAAATGACCTAACTGTGTGTCGTCAGTTCTGAAATAAATTAAATACAGTTTGTTACTTGAAGTCACGGTAACATTTTTGTCATGTGTTTGCTTAATCAACATGTACAGAGTTCATGGGTCTGTGATCCATTTCTATGTAAAAGGGGTCTCCCTACTTAAAAAAAATGGGGAAGAATTGGCATAGTCACTTGGCCTAAGCTGGCCTGGCAGTGACAACAATAATAAAATCAATAGTAGCAGTAATGATTAACACTTCTTACAACAGAAGTTTGAAGTTACAGATGAAGGAGCTGAGGCAAGCCGGGTTGCATAACTTGCCAAAGGGACAGGCCTCTGTACTTGGTGGCAGTGACGTAAAATGAAGGCAGAAGGTGAGCTTGGAAGTGACCTCTATGGCAGTGGTTCTCAACCATGATCCTTTCAAAAAGAAGGAGGCATAATTTGAGATCTACTGAGTCAGGCTTGGGATG